TTTTCATATATATATATATATTAAAAATAAATATAAAATACAGTATATCATATATTATAGTATGTTATAAATATTATATATTTCTATTTAACTTAGTATCTATGTAAATATAAATATAAGATATTTACCATATATCCCATAAATTATCAAACACAGAAACTATGAACTTCTTAACTTCCCAGGGAGGTTATCAAACACAGAAACCATGAACTTCTTAAGCAACTTCTAATTTACAGTTCTTCAGTAACTTCCAATTTCCAGTTCATGTTCTTGCTTCCTGTAATCAAACACACCCACAAAGTATCCACCTTGAACTGGCAAAGTACGGGGTAACTCCAAATTTCACCCAAAAATGCAGTTAATCCTTACAATCGCATAAAAATTTATTTCATATTTAGTTATGAAATTAAAAAGTCAAAAAAACGATCCGGATTAAGCAGCTATATGAATAGTTAAAAATCTTCAAACTGGGTAGTTTATATAATGTTTTAGAAGATGCAAATTGTTTTAGGGTTTTAATTTTTTTTTTTCTTTATATAGAATAGATGTGAGATCAACTTTGCTTTATGGAGCGCAATGTTGGTGGACAAAAACAATATACTCATAAAATGAATATAGCGGAGATGAGGATGTTGAGATGGATGAGTAGCAAGACAAGAAGAGATAGAATTCGAAATAAATAAATTCGGGACAGTTTAGGTGTGGCACCAATAGCGATAAGATGAGAGAAAGTAGACTTAAGTTGGCTGGCCATGTGTGGCATCGACCCAGTAGAACATCTGTTAGGAGGTATGAGGTAATTCAAGTGGAAAGGTAGAAAAGGGCAAGGAGTAAACCCAAAAAGACGTTGTTGGAAGTAGTCCGAAAAGATATTGGGACTTATGGCCTATGACCTTAAACAAAACAAAATGATGGACCAGGATTCGTGTAAGCGATCCCAATTAATTGAAAAAAAGTTATGATAATCATGATTTTTTTTTTCTTATATCCATGTATCCTAAGGTCAAAATGATCAATTAAAGTGTTTTTCAACGTGCCAACAATCTTTTCTAGCGGGTTTTTGCGGTGCACTTTACTTCTAAATAAGTAAAGTGTAATGTTGAAAACTTTTTTCACATCTAATGAAGGCTTGGACAATAGATGCTTTATGGGAAAGGGATGGTTTCTTCGTTGCCCTGCTTACAACTTGGATTCAATTTCTGCAAATCTGATGGGTAGTTGATCATTTTTAATATTTGTTTATAAATCTTGTCGAGCAGATAT